TCGGCATATGGATGGCAGATTAGCGGACCCAGCAATCCATGGTGGCTTGCGTGCCATCGGTCCTTCCAGCCAGCTTTGCGAGCAAATGGGGTTTCCTGGCAAGGGGAGCCCGGGCACCCCATCTTGCTGCTGCTCTTCCCTGCCAGGTGCTTGCCGAATCCTGCCTGCGGATTCAGGCAGCGGGCGCAGGGGCCGAGGCCGGGCAGTGCCGAGAGGAGAGCTCGCGCTCTGTTTGCACGGTGCCGGACAATGTTTGCTTTTCATGCAACATCCTGATGTCGCTGACTCCTGCTCCGCCACTTTGTCCTCTCGCGCAGCGTCTCCGAGCTGTCCCTGGGCACGGCAAAAGAGGGCACCTGCTCAGCTCGGGGCTCTGCACCGCTGCACAGCATCCCTCCTGTCTCCTGGGGCCCCCCCGGACGCAACAGGCACCAGGGCAGCCTCCCTGCCCTGCCTCTGCCTGTGCCTCTGTGCTGCCAGTGGCACGGTGCCGGGCAGGAGCAAGTGGGGCATGCCCTGGCCCCGGTCGGGAGGGCAGAGCCAGGCTTGCTGCCCAGGCAGGGACCCAGAGCTTCTCGTGGCTCCCTGGGAAGCGCACGGTACAGCAGCCAACACGTGCCAGGCGCGGGGACAGGGAAAGTGTCGCTCGCCTGCAGTGCCAGGCAGAGCTGGGTGGATCGTACAGCAGGGTCCCACTGCAGTCACGAGCCTCCCTGTCTCTCTTCCTTCTCCAGCTGAATATCCTGGTGGACACAGGGAGCAGTAACTTTGCTGTGGGAGCTGCACCTCACCCCTTCCTCCGGAGATACTACCAGCGGCAGCTGTGAGTAGGCTGGGGGGATGCAGAAACTCCTTGTGCCTGTGACACAGCCCCGGCCCTGCCGAGGCGTGCTGTCCCTTCTTGCTGGGGGTCCAGCCAGATCCTGCCAGGTACTGCTGGCCTCCATGCCCGCCGGGTCCGCACGGCTGCTCCTGTGCCCGGGGAGGGAGGGACGCCTTGGCCGCCTGCCCCACCTCCTAGAATGTTTAAGACGACATCTGGGCCACTGGCCCTTGTGCACAGCAAACAACCTAGGCTGCAAGGAGCTGTCCTGGTGCTTCACCAACCCATGGCGGGGCTCCCCAACAGCCGTGCGTGCTGGGAAATGCACTGTCCTCACCCACTTATGCCAGTCTGCAGGACAGGCGTGCCTCTACGCTTGCAAATGCTCAGCTGTGCACATGTGCGCTCCCACCATCACCCAATGTGCGGGTGCCTGCTCCTCCTCCATGCGAGTCTTACTCTGGTTCTTTGATGCCGTTGCAGGTCCAGCACCTACCGCGACCTGCGGAAGGGTGTGTATGTGCCCTACACCCAGGGCAAGTGGGAAGGGGAACTGGGCACTGACCTTGTCACCATCCCCCACGGCCCCAACGTCACCGTCAGAGCCAACATCGCTGCCATCACGGAGTCAGACAAATTCTTCATCAACGGCTCCAACTGGGAAGGGATCCTGGGGCTGGCGTATGCCGAGATCGCCCGGGTGAGTCGTGGCTTGCAGCCGGCTGGGCCCCAGCTCTGCTTGGCCCTGCCCGCAGACGCGGGCTCCCCATCCCAGCAGGGTTTGACTGCCTCTTTCCTTGGCTCTACTCACTCCCCTGGGGCCCAGCTTGCAGTTGTGCTGGTGACCTTGAGCCCTGCTCCAGCAGCATGCGGAGCTGGGATCCCTGGGGCACAGCAGTCCCGGCAAGGGGAGCTCCCCTGGGCACGGAGAGCCCCTGGAGGAGGGACAGCACTGATGTGTCCTTCCTCTGCTTTCTCCTCCCACCAGCCCGACGACAGCCTGGAGCCTTTCTTTGACTCGCTGGTGAAGCAGACTCGGGTGCCCAACATCTTCTCCCTCCAGCTTTGCGGGGCCGGCTTCTCGCCCAACGAGACAGAGGCCCTGGCCTCGGTGGGAGGCAGCATGGTGAGTGCTCCGCAGCCGGCAGGCCCGTGGGGCTGCCCGCGGGGGACATGCCCTGGCCAGAGCGGGCAGCGTGGTTCGAAACGCCTTTCTGTCTCTGCTGCAGATCATTGGTGGCATTGACCGCTCACTGTACGTGGGTGACATCTGGTACACGCCCATCCGGAAGGAATGGTACTACGAGGTCATCATTGTCAAGCTGGAGGTCAACGGGCAGGACCTGAACATGGACTGCAAAGAGGTGAGGGGGCTCTGGGGGGCCCTATGCCACAGGGGACCCTGCCCCATGGGGTGCTGCTCTGCCACTGGAGGCACCCGCCTTCGATCCGAGGGGGAGCGGGGCTGGGCTCTGGCGCCTGGGTCACTCCTCTTCCGCCCCCAGTACAACTACGACAAGAGCATCGTGGACAGCGGGACCACCAACCTCAGGCTGCCAAAGAAGGTGTTTGAGGCTGCGGTGAAATCCATCAAAACAGCTTCTTCGGTCAGTGAAACCCTGCCCCTGGGCACATCCCCAGGGCCAGCGTGGGGCTGTGGGCAGCGTGGCTGCCTGCCAGCAGCCTGAGCATCTCTGCTGCCTGCCCGGCGTGGCCCCACTCATCTCCCCTTTCTCTCTGGCAGACGGAGAAGTTCCCAGATGGCTTCTGGCTGGGGGAGCAGCTGGTTTGCTGGCAGGTCGGCACCACCCCCTGGCACATCTTCCCGGTCCTGTCCCTCTACCTGATGGGGGAGGCCACCAACAAAAAAACACCATCCTGCCCCAGGTGAGCGTTGGCCCGGCCGGACCCTGCCCGGTGCTGAGCCGGAGGGTGGACCAGAGCTGGTTGTGTGGGCAGGACCGTGCTGGGTGGGCACAGCTGCCTGCCCCTGGGAGCTCTGCCCCGTCCCCATCCCTGACAGTGCCTCTTTCACTGCAGCAATACCTGAGCCCGGTGGAGGACGTGGCCACCTCTCAGGCAGACTGCTACAA